GGCTTATACAAAGGGGGTGCTTATACATGGGGAAATACGGTAGCTATCATAGCTGACAGGTATTTATCATTAGGGATTAATAATGTGTGGCCAGCTACTCCTAATGGTGTAAATCTGTCATGCCCTTGTTGGAGTCTGATTCTGAGGGAGAGATTGAGCAGCTGACAGGGAGTGGGAGGTGGCTCCGGTGGCTGTGGAAGAAACAGGGAAGGGCGCAGTCCAGCTGGGCATTCAGGGGAAGACCCAGGGCCATCCCCTCTTCATCCTAGGGCAGGCAGGGAGGAACGGAAAAGGGAACAATATAGCTTATGGGAGAGAAAAAGGCCCTGATCCCTTTCATTAGTTGCAGCTGGGAGAACAGGATATAAGTGGGGCATTTGCACACAGCTCTTTGCTGGAAGCAAAGCATGCATTATCTTTGTCCAGGCTTATCTGGGGTTTTGGCATCCTCCCAACTGTGGATGCTGCATTATCTGTTTGGAAGTCTGTAATTTGTCATCCTGGCCTGCCATGTTAATTACTTCAGTGTGGTTTGTGTTGGTTTTTTATTTCTAATTATCTTTACTTTGGGTTTGGACTGCATTTCTTTCCTTCGTAGACTGTTTTTGGAAGAGTTTGATATCCACCCGTGGATAATTGGACATTGGGGGCCAAGTTGGAGACATTAAAGGGAATTTATTCTACTTTTGTGACTTTGTTATTTTTGTGTCATGCCCCGGGTCATCACAAAATCAGTCGAGCCCATGGTGAAAGATTCTGGGAACTGAAATATCTAGCAATAGGCTAGAAACCAGGAGACCCTCAGATTCAGTCCCGCCTTAAGCACAAAGCCACTTGAGTGACCTTGGAAAAGTTACTCTCTCAGCTCTAGGAAGAAGACAATGCCAAAACCACTTCCAAAAATCTTGCCCAGCAAACTTCAGGGATTAATCCAAGCAGGTGCCAGGGGTCAAAGTTGACTCAAAGACCTCAAAAAATTGTTAGGTTTTTCATGTATCTGACACTGAACTTCATTTAATGTAGTGTGCCTCACATTCTAGGTAAATATTTTCTTCAAAAATATATTTGAACTTCAGTAATAGGATGATGTTTGAAAAGAAGATTCAGCTGTGCTTGGAGGCTGTTTATTTTTCACTGATCACTTTCTCTTCATAGCCTCTACCAGTTCTGGAGACGTCCTTTGCCTGTGTCTAATTGAAGATCATTGCTATAACTGAAAAATAAAACCAGCATCATGAAGCACTTCCTCAGGTAACTTTCCTTTGTTTGTAGAAAGCCCTTGATTAAGAAAAGTTCCAGCTATGATTGGTTTGAGACTGCTCTAAAATATTTCATCTAGGAAATCAGTTTGCTCAAGGAAAGCTGGATTATATAATTGTTTGCTATTGAGCAAATTACATAACCAACCATAATTTATTCATTACTTGTTCATTTATGTACTCATTATATTTCTATCCAACATTTCTGTGAAGTGTGTAAGGCAAGGGTCTTCAAACTTGACAGCTTTAAGACTTATTTTAACTTCTACTTAACTCCAACTCCCAGAATTCTCCCAGTTATTAAAAGCAAACAAATCAAATTAAAACACTGGTTGTGCCTTACTCCTTACTCCTTAGGCAAAATTTCTGGAAATTATCTTTGCCTTGGAATTTTGTATGCAGCAAAATCTGATCGTGTGATATTAGCATGTTGATTATATGATTTCCAAATCTCCAAGATTTCTCTAGTTTTTTTTTTAATACAAGGTATTTTATACTATTTCCCGTAAAGGTACACTTCCAAGCAGTTTACAATTAAAGTTGCACCATACAAATTGCATTGTATTATAATATACAATTATGAAAGCAACAAGAAATAGTGGAAAAAGATGTGTACTGTTACGTAGGAATAAAGTCATTGAAATATTTAGGTGTCACAATTCAGTCTTTCTGAATGTTTTGTGTCTCTGCACCTGTTGAATTGTATAATTCTGATGCTCGAGTTGTCTTTAAAAATTGCGCTGGTCATTGACCACAGTAAAATCTGTGTCTGCCTCTCTTGTCTATAAACAATTGTCACATATCGCTGATTTAAGATGTTAATTGAAAATAACCACTGAGTTTACAGTAATTTCATGTTTGTGGACTTGTAGAATTCTCAAGACGTAATTTCTCAGTTTAAGACATTCCTAAAGCATGTCACAATTGGGATATTTGAAAAAACAATACTAGTAACAAATTAGTCTGTTCAAGAAAAAAGGAAAGAAAGGAAAAGAAATAGCTTGTGCTTCTTTGACCAAGAGAAATACTGTGATACAATCTTTTTTGAGCTTGAATCTCACTCTGTGCTTCTGGTGAAGTAGGGTTTTCTTTTTGTTTCTTTTTTTATGGGAGTCTTTTTTATTCTATTGTAATGTTTGATAAGCTGGAGGAAAAATACCATTCAAATTGCTGGGAAGATTACAAGCATCAGATCTAATTTGGGCTGTTGAGGTTGTTCTTATTAGAACGCAGAAGTTCAGTGACCAGTGCAAGATAGAAAAGACTTATTGTTAGAACTGGGCATTTTAGAGCTGAGGAATTTATATTTTGTACCATAACTCAATAGGTTTTTTTTTTTTAATACAAACCCATTTTTGGTAATTTTGACCTTCATTTCAGCAAGAACTCACATTGCTATTGCTAAAAAGGACAATCTCCCAGTGTTAGTTCAGTGATCTCATTCTGTCTTTTAATTACCTCTAATATACAGTATTACAGGTAGTCTTCAACATTATTCATTTAGGGACCATTCAAAGTTGCAATGCTACTGAAAAAGATATTTATTTATTTATTAAATTCTATGCTGCCCGTCTCACCAGTGGTGGTATTCTACCAGTTTGGCCAGTTCTGGTGAGCTGGTAGCAGCAATGAGCAGTGAGGACGATACCATCTGCCCGCCTGGGCTCCCATACTCACCTTCATCCGCTGAATTTGAAGTTCAGCTGCTTTGCACGGCACAGAATAATGCTGTGTTTCAGCTGCTGAACCAACTGGGATCGTGCAGGCTTGCAGGAAGTGAGTTAGAACGACTCTGCGCCTGCGCAAATGGTTCTGCACCTGCACAAAGTGCGAATTTGTCATGTGCATGCATGCAAAGCGCGCCCACCAAGCCACGCTCACCAAACTGGTGGTGGATGTGGCTTGGTGATCATGTGACTGGGTGAACGTGGCTTGGTGGTCATGTGACTGGCTGGGCATGGCCAACTCAACATCACTCACATCGAGGCACCATCTCCTCGCCTAGCCTCTCATGACTGTGGGGATGCTGCAACAGTCATAAGTGTGAAAAATGGTCATCAGTCACTTTTTTCAGTGCCATTCTAACTTTGAATGGTCACTCCACACAAGCAAAGTACCAGTAAAGGAGGGGGAAAATACTCCAGAGAAGTTCCTGAGACAGGAAGTCTAGTCCTGCCAAGAATGTAATAAGGGTTAACAGAAAGGCAGTTTCTGTAAGCAACACCAGAATGTTTCCTTCCTGCCTTCCTTACAGGATTAGGCCAGTAATTTCTTCTAACAACCAGTTCTCCGAACTGCTTAGAATGTTAACAACCGGTTCTAGCGAATAGGTGCAAACCTGTAGAATCCCACCCCTGATCCCACCACTGCATCTCTTCCATAAAGTGACTTATGACCAGTCCTCACACTGCAACATCCCCACAGTCATGTGATTAAAATTTGGGCACTTGGCAACCAGCATATATTTATGACAGTTGCAGGATCCCAAGATCATACGATCGCCATTTGGAACCTTTCCAGATGACTTCTAACAAGCAAAGTTGATGGCGGAAGTCAGAGGTCACCTAGTGACCATGTCATTTACTTAACAACTCTGATAACTCATGTAATGATCAAAGCAAAAAGATCATAAAAATGGGTACAACTCACTTAATAACCACCTGCTTAGCAACAGACATAAACTGTTCCTAATAGTGATTATAAATCAGGGAAGACTTGCATAGACATTCCTGTAAATAATGTCTCTATGAATTACTCCTATAATAATAACTTATAAGGTCCCTTTTTTGAACATTCCCCTCTGTGCTGCATTCTTCCCAGGTGTCACAAAGCAGAAATATTTTGTTCTGGCACGGTGAAATGATCTGCTCATTCATAATCTTCTACTTTGATGCTGTGACCTAAATTATAAAAGCAAAGTGGTGGCTCAGGATCACACGGCTGTCTGCAGGTCACAGTTGGGGGGGGGGGATTCAGCATGAAGGGAATCCTGTTGCATGTGTCAACAGAATTGCAGTTATTTATTCTGAATTGGCTTTTTTTATGAACTTGGATGGGGAATTTTTTTTTCATTGAGTTAGAGATGGTAGTGTAAGGACTGTACAGAACAACCCTGAATCCTGAATCTATAGGCTGCTGCAGCTGCTCATGTTAGAATTAAGTTCTTTCACCTTCTTATGCTAAAAATCCCATTGCTATCGATACCAAACGTTTGTGAAAACTTAGTATTTTTAGCAAAATCCAAGCCACACAAGGAAAATAAATCCTGGATTGGGTATATATGAGAATGGCTGACTTCTGGAAATGAAGACTATAAATGTGCTATATATCCTAAGGCATGAGATTGCTATTAGAGTTGCTCATCCCAATCTATCAGAAGAAGAAACCACTTTCCTTGTCTCTGTCTGGACAAAGTGTTTAACTACAACTCTTTGAGTTGCTTGCAAAACAGACCCAGTGAGTTAATCTTTGCAGATCATTCTCTCTGGTACTCTCCATGGTCCTGTTGCTAAATAAAGAGCTATTTAGCTACAAATCAGAGCTATTCTATCAGGCCTCTTAATTTATTTTAAAAAGCAGTCAGAGCAGAACAAAACTGCCTAAAAGGGGAAGGAAATTAAAATACAAGAACCAGTAGTTTTACTTTACTTCATAATCAGGTGCCAAAAAGCTTTAAATAGAATTAAGGTCTTAAGGTTGTGGAGGAGTTGTATTTGTTCTTTAGAGACTACTCTGGAGAGTATTGAGCTATGTTGTTCTAAGAAACATGGGGGGAAAACCCAGATTCTAGCCAATGAAGCATTTTAAAAGGGAATGATAATCTTCTGAAGCTGAAATGCTATAGATATATGTAGAGGCGAAGATCAATAATTAAATAAGCACTTTTGGGTTATGGTTAGAAGCAAATGTTTCCTAAAACATCCATTTTGATGGAGTGGTAACACATAGCTTCATGAGGGAATAGTCACAGATTTAGTCCAATTCATACGTCTGGGGGAAACTGGGAAACAGCTATCCATTCTACTAGTCATCTCTATCCATATTTTAGTTGGGAATTTTTGACACTTAAGCTCATCATGGAATTGATAGGCGGGATTAATTAGCCGGTTGCTTTTGTTAATTGTGCTTTTTTCCAGATTGCCTATGCTTAGGATCCATAGATCCATTTTTACTATATTTCTGCACACTAATTTTGTAGCTTCCTTACAAGGGACAGCAAATATCTATGGTGGGTGTGATATTTATTCCACTCACATCTAGAGAAATAAATCATTGCTGAATCGCGAGACCAATCTGCAGAGTCTGCAGTGTTTTTGAACGCTTTATTATGCTAATAATTCTGATTGCCATGGTGCTTTTTTTTATCTAAACAGATGGATAAAATGAAAAACCAGTCTTGTTTTAATCTGAAAAAAATCTAGTTGTTATTGGGGAAAATTCAAGGAAAACGAAAATAGCATCAGTGATAGACAGAGAAAGGTGGCCAAATCCAAATTAGGGTGTTTTTTTAATTGATCTTATGTGTTATAAAATATGTACTCCAAACTTGAACAAATATTCAGGCCCATTATCGCTTACTTGGTAATTTTCGTTGTTTCTGCCCACGTATGTTTTTATTATCGGGCAATAGGCTTGCATTTATATGTTGCATTTTGGTAACTGCAGGAAAACAACCATTGTTAGTTTTCCATAAGGCTGGGTGTAATGCAGGGGTGAGCTACTATGGCAACTTCATGACCTGTGGACTTCAATTCCCAGAATTCCTGAGCCAGATGGTCATAAAATTACCATAGTTTGCCCACGCCTGGTGTAATGAGATGCCTTTGCATTCAGTTCAGAGTCCATCATTATGTCGCTGGAGATTACTTTCACTTCTGCTTTAGGCACTAAGCAGATGCTTCTTTCTATAGGTAGACCTCCTGTAAATTAAATAGGGAAGGTGGAAAAAATCCAGAATCGATTGCTGGATCGGGACAATCACAACAACATAACAGATACATAAAAGATAAAAATTCCCCTGAGTCAAGCTTGAGTCCTAGAAATATTTCCAAGACAAATGTATCCATTTCCGAAGCATCATGATGCTCCCATGCTCACTATTTACACATTCTGATAATGTTTTTCAGGGCCTTAATAAATTAAGATATTGCTGGAGACAGTTACGTTATTTGCAACATGACTATATATATATATATATTGTCTTTTAATGACCCCGTAATCCCTTGCATTGGGTGGAGTTGGGGCAACTGAATAGAGCTGATTGTTTCCTGGCCGGATGTCCTTCCTGTCACCAATGCAGAGTTCGCAGCTGATATTTTACTCATCGTGTCCAGAGAGAGAAATATCTGCCACTACCTAGGATCGAACTCACATCCTCCTGATTGTGAGATGAGAGCTCCACCTCTAGGCCATTGCACCACTCTGCAACATGACTATATATATATCATATTTCTTGCTCTATAAGACTCATTCCCCCCGAAAAAAAGAAATGGGTGGAAATGTCTGTGAGTCTTATAGAGCAAAAGTTGTCGAAGCTCCGCCAACCCACAAGCCCCCACCCTTCGGCCTCTACCTCCCAGCAATTTGCCTCCCTGCAGCAAACAACAAACAGCCTGGTCAACTTCAGCACAGCCTGATTTAGCATGAGGAGCTGATTGGCGATTGGATCAGCCACCCGGAATACCGCCAATCAACTGTTCCAAGCTGCAGGGATCGCCACCTCTACACGCCCCATTTTCAGCTTCCACGTGTCCCGTTTTCAGTGCGTTCCAGGTGGTGGGGATTGCCACTGCCAATTGCCATGGCTGCGACGATCAGCAGGGATCGGCAGAGGCAGCAGCAATCCCCGCCACCTAGAATGGGCCAAAAATGGGATATGTGAGGGTCAAAAATGGGGCGTGCAGAGGCCAAAAATGAGGTGTGCGAAAGCAGCATTAGGTGGCGCGACAGTGATCAACAGCACTGACGATGGGCATCGGCAATCCCCACAGCCTGGAACAGCTGATCAGTGGTATTCTGGGAGGCTGATCCAGCCACCAATCAGCTGCTCATACTAATCAGGCTGTGCTGAAACTGACCAGGCTCTTTGCTGTTTGCTGCAAGGAGACAAATTGCTGGGAGGCAGAGGCAGATTCTTGTTTTCCTCCCCCAAAGCTAGGTGCATCTTACAGTCTGGAACATCTTATAGTGCAAAAAATTTGGTACTTGTTAAAATCCATTTTTAACATAAGTGGGTTGCAAAGAAACAACCAGCTTGTTCCTTCCACCCCAAGTTAAAAAGTTCCTCAAATAGTAAGGTTGGAGGTTTATTTGCTTCAATAAGAAAAAAAGGTAGAGCTATTCTTTTCCTAGGGAATGGCATCCAGGCAAAAAGAAATCAATATTGATGAGAAAAAAAAACCTTACAACTCTCACTGATTCAAATGTCGTTATTAGAAGAGGTAGGATTAGGCTGGTGACAGCTCTCTCCCCATCTTTGGCCATGTCCTGCATTCAAATTCATTGGAGAAGGCAACGCTGCTAGAAATGGTTAGCGGAACAAGAAAAAGGGGCAATCTAAGAACATGCTGGCTTGATAACATCAAATCTGATACGAATGTGAACATCCAACTATTGAAAGAAGCTGTGCTTGACAGAGTAACATGGGGAGCATTTGCCTATAAAGTCGCCAAGAGTCAGACACAAACAAATAGTTAGAACAACAATACACATGTGGTGCAAGAGTACCTTTCGCAATATAATTATTTGGCATTGAAATTGTACTCCTGTTTTTTTTTTTTAAGAGAGGGGCATTATCTTGTGATCTTGGTAAAATTAGAAAAGTCAGACCATCTTAAAAACCTAATCCATTTCATAGTGTGCTTTTATTGCAGGATTTCTACAAGCAAGAATTTATACTGTATATAAATAAACCATTGAAATGATAACAGCCTTAACTGTACTTAAGTCAATACCATTTTGCTCCTAAAGAAGATCTCCAATGTCATAAATTTAAGATGGAGGAATAGTGTATCATTTAAAGGTACCCATCAAATGAATGTTCACTTCCTGTAGATAACCATTCTGAGACATAGCACTTCCTTTGTAGTACCCCACTGTAATATAGTTATACGCCCCACCATCAATTTTAGTGTTATGACTGTGATGTGGTCTTTACTACTAATTCTATTCAGTTTAATTTGCAGTTTGACTAAGGCCAAGCAGCTCGGTCCTTTGAATGTTGGTTAGGAAATAAAATGGTCTTAGTAAGTGTGACTGGGTATAGAGTGGAATGTGTATTCTGAGGAATAATAATTACAGGGTACAGATTCCTTGTGCCAGGTTCTTTTAAAAACACAGTGTCACTGGTCACATAGGTTTCTTAACCAGCTGCAGATAGATCACACGAATTTGTTCTTGATAAGTGTGGAAAAAAACATGTCCCCTGAGAACTAGAACTAAGCAACATACATTTTTCTACTTCCATGGAAGAGGAAGTGAATAGAAAGAATAAACTAATTCCTTTTTAGCACATGCCTTTTAAAGTGTACACATTATTTTAATTTATGTAGATTGCAACCCTTTGTGCACTTAACCAGGGATTAAGCCTCAGTAAATACTGTAGAGCTTTGTTCATACAATGCTGAATTTAGCTAATTGTCTGTTTGACCAATATGCTCATTCATAAATTAACCATCCTGACTGCCTTCATCCAATGCACAGAAATGAGCCAACCCGATTTTTAACCTAATTATGTTGTATAAACAACGTCTGAGACTTTTGAGAAAAGGTATTTAGGATTGTGCAGTTCATAAGTATTATACAAACTGTAGTACGATAATAGAACATGATGGATCCTTGCCTCAAGCTTGTTTTCTAAAGTTCACAGGGTTCCTATGTAAGCAAGCTTCATAACGTCTTTAAATGACAGAGGCCACTTAGTGCTTTCAAGGACAGCATGTGGAAACAATATGCAGTGAAAGATGTAACAAAGGGGAAAACTGCATGTACAAGACCTCCATGTGGCCAGATCTTGAGGATGACTATGTTCATTTGTTAAACGGTAACTCATCTGAGCCTGCAAGCCATGAACCACAGCAAATCTTAAGTTCACACATTGTGCGCGCACACACAGAGCAAAGAAGAGCATGAGGATGAGGATTGGCTACATGCACTGTGTGTCTGAAACCAATAAACAGTTATAACTCTTAATTATGGTTTGTTTGAAAAAAAAAACCCAATATGAAACCATCATTTATGTACTCAGCATTTTTTAAAATAGCATTAACTGAATACATCAACTGCCACACATGCAAAAAGAGATATTTAATTAAGGCACAATGCTCCTTTTCCCCAATCAAACCATAATGCCCATACAATGTACTAAGGCCAAAATCGAAGGCCCTTGTGGGGTTTAGGATTTTAGCAAACCCACATAGTGTAATTATAGCCTAATGAACCCCTTTCATTCTGGTTTAATCACTATAACATAGTTAAGCAAACCATTGCTTAACTATTTGCTTAAGCAAACCATACAACGGCCCCCAATCTTTTGGGTGCCAGAGACCAGTTCCAAGGAGAGGGGATTTCCACAGACCGAAGGGGGGTGGTTTTACATGCTGCCTACACCCCATGCATGCACGGATGGGGCTTCGCTTTTTTGCATGGCCCAGTTCCTGGCACACCGCAGACTGATGCCGGGCTGCAGACCAGGGGTTGGGGACCTCTGGATTAGTATATTGTATGGACACATCCAGTATGGGTGCATGGTAGAGTAATTTAGATCAATTACCTTACTGGAACTGTGTTTGCACATCCCACTAACTATGTAATTCTTTGTACCATGTGAACAATGATTTCAAAAGGCAGTGGTTAAATTAAACAAGCTATGCAAAAATAGCTGGGAAGTAGTGCCATTCTGTAGTCTAGATCAGGAGCCTCAAGTCTTAAAAGTTTCCAAGGTCAGAAACATCAGGTTTAGAGAATCCTGCAGTATGGAAGAAGTTGGACTTGATAACGGTTTAAGTCCCTTCCAGATCTATGATTTTATAAGAGTGCTTGATGAAAAAAAACCAAGGGAAATAAGGCTGAAGTTTTGGCAGAAGCTTTTAGGGGGCTGGTTTTATTCATAGCCTTTAGTCAATAGTCTAAAGCCAATAGTCTTATTTTGCTCTTCATTTCAGCAAAAATATTATTTAGAAAGGGTTTTTTTTCTTTTTAAAAAAGTCGTATGGCTCATGAGTTTCCCATTCTGCTCTAAAATATAAAGGATGTGCTAAGAGTTTTCCTCCATAACATAGAACAATTGCATTGCTACAGAAATTAAGCCATGGGTGTGATAAATCATGCTATTGGTGTCCCTTGTTCATACCCTATAGCCCTAGCAATTCTCAAGAACAATTATTTTTGTTAGTGGTTCTTTGTTTACAATGCTAAACCTTTTTTAAAAGTCTAACTGTCCTAAAAATTCTTAAATTCAGTGAAGTTCAGACATGTTGTTGCCACCAAGGATCATTTTGCTGATTAAAAAAAAAAGGCTTTCCTGGTTTCTCATTTTAAGGATTCTTTTGACAGAATGCTTGTCCAGGTATGCCTGTACTTCTATTGCAAATGCTTATGGCGCTGCCTGAAATTTGTGGCACGGAAACTGACTGGACGCTGTGAGCTACAAAGGATCTGTTATAATATCAAGCCTGGAGCCGAAAGAACCTTGAAAATTGGTAAGCACCTTTAGGGCAACTCTTAATCTTTATTTTCATTCACCATGCTCATAATAAAAGGATTGACTGGTTTGTTTGGTTTTATTGAGAGTTTCGCAGCGATAATTCAGTGTCAGAAAACAACACAGATGTCTGATTTAACATCTTTATAAACGTAAATAGATTTTACAAACCAGTTGTAGATTTCTCCAACATGGAGCAAACTCAACTCTTAAGTTGGACTCTTTGTGTTGTGAAATATTTCTTATCTGTGATTCTTGGCAGTATCATACAGTTTTGGCAAGGATTGTGCTTATCAAAGTTAATTAGTTTGCAGCAGCCTTTTAACCGAGGATTCGTAAGACTCATTAAAAGGTTTCTGTTCCCTTTGGTTATTTGTCTTATTGGAAAAAGGTTTGGGTTAGAACAGTTTATCTGTGACAAGATGTTTTCAACAGAAGACAAAAATTAGCAAGCAAGCAAATGTTTTATCAAGTTGGGTTCGTTTATCATATTACATCAGTTTCCTTATTAAGAGCAAACAGTGGTTGATATAGGAAAAAACCAATTTTTCCTTGGACTACACATAGTTATTTCCAACTTTCTTTTTCCTGCGGAATTTAGCAAAATGGAAACAAAATGGAACAAAAGCCACTTGTTCTGTTTTCTGGTATAGTCTGGGTTTCTTATCATTAATTCTCCTTCATAGTACTTGATCTAATGCAGGTAGTCCTCAACTTACAGCCATTGATTTAAGGGTGATTCAAAATGATGACAGCCTTGGAAAAAGTGATTTATAGCTGTCTTCACATTTAGAATGAGAAAGTTGGAAGGGATCTTAGAGGTCTTCTAGTCCAACCCTCTGCTTAAGCAGAAAACCCTATACCATTTCAGACAAATGGTTATCCAATGTCTTAATTTACAACTGTCACACCATCCCCACTGTTACATGGCCACAATTTGGGTGTTTGGCAACCAGCTGTAGTGTCCTTTGATCATGCGATTGCCATTTAAGATCTTTCCAGCCAGTTTCCAGCAAGCAAGTCAATTGGGGAACCTGGATTTTCTGAACAACCGTGTGACTTGCTTAATGGACATGTGCTTTCTTTAACAACCTCAGTAAAAATGGACTGTCTATATACTGCAATAACTTCTGACTTGTTCTGTTTTTTTATCCTAAATATGACTTTGGTTATATCGTCCAATGTTTGATGATTTGGGGATCCCAATTGGCCATCCTGCCTAAAGAATAACTGAGTAAAACAGCTTTTTTTTAAAAAAAACTTATTAATCTTTAACATCATTGATTCTCCCCAAATATTTTGTATGCATGTAAGAATTTGACCCTCTTTGTTTTCTAATAAAATCCCTCCCTTTGTTCATTTTTCCTTGCTGGTGAAAGCCCATTGATAAAATATTATGTGGTTCTATTGTCCATATTGTTAAAAATGCTAACATATAATAAAATAATTAAAATTTCAAAAATATTTTTCCCAACAGAGACATCATTGAGGAATTCAAAAAACAAGGTGGGTAAAAGTCTCTGTATTGTGTTCATTTGGTGTGACAATTTTAGCCCTGTGATTTATATTACAACAGGAGTATTTGAGCTCAGTTACAAATAAGACTGAAGGAAAACATTCAGATAACTGAAGGAAATGAAACATAATCTCTATGTCTTATTGGCTCTGAGATACTTATTTGACGTATTTAGAGGTTCAGGAATTGATTGCCTGGTACTATCATTGCTCATTGATTTGCCTTAGCAAATAGTGGTCTTTCCACCCATATCCTTTTGATAGCTGTCAAATATTCATGAGATGGAAATTTGAAAGTTCCTCATGCATTGAAGGCTTTCATTACTATTCTGTTTTATTGTTATTCAGTTAAAAAGAACACAAATGATCATCTTTATTGGACACCATGATGCATAGGTGTCCAGAAGATAAGGAGGACAGAAAACAATGGCTTCCACCTTTTTATAACATGCATAATGGATTACAAAGGGGGGCAGAGTTTGATTGCTGATACAGCTCTCATCATGATTTTTTAAAATTTGCCTTGCTTTTCCCCATCCCCACCCCCAAATAGGCCCTACAAATATTTCAGTGTGGAGTTAATCATGATTTGGTGTGATGCAAGCCTAAGTAGATCAGGGTTATATCCCTCTGACAGCGATTAATAATGGTTTCAGTCATTTATTTCTAGTACATTTCACTTCCTGTGGGAAAACTGATATATGATCAATTCTTTTTGTTTCAGTTGCTCCAAAATTCCATTAGCGTTCATCCAGATGCAATTGAAAAAACGGTAGATGCCATCATAGGCTTGAAAAAGATTAACCCAGATGTAAATCCACAGTAAGTTTTAAATAAGCAGCATTGGGAAACAGAATGTTTCAGATTTCGCCCTTTAATTTCTTTCAAAAGTTGGTTTTCCCACACATTTCCCATGTTTTGCACATTTTGACAAACATTTTGTGAAAGATACAGGTATTAAGAGCCACAGTGGCGCAGTGGTTAGAGTACAGTACTGCGGGCTACTTCTGCTGCCTGGCAGCTGCCTGCAATTTAACAATTCAAATCTCACTAAGCTCAAAGTAGACTCAGGGTTGGCTCCATCCTTCTGAGGTCAGTAAAATGTCATTCCCTTCAGTCATGGTCCTGTGACTGCATTTTGGGTGTTTGGCAACAAACTATCTTTAACTGTGGTCGTAAGTCAAGAACTACCTAATTCTTTGACATGATCCCTCATGAGCTCCAGTGCCACAATCTTGGATAAATAATTTCTCGACTAATGCTGTTGATGGACAGCAATAGCAATAGCACTTAGACTTATATACCATTTCACAGTGTATAAAGCCCGTCTCTAAGTGTTTTACAAAGTCAGCATACTTCCCCCAACAATCTGGGTCTCATTTTATCAACCTCAGAAGGATGGAAGGCTGAATTAATCTTGAGCCTGTAAAACTCGAACTTCTAGCAGCCGGCAGTCAGCAGAAGTAGGCTGCAATACTGCATTTTAACCACTGTGCCACAACAGCAGGCACAGCTGCATCTTCACCTGGAACCAATTCTTTACCACTTTACCTTACTATCGAATGATCATTTCATATATAATGCTTAGAGTGCACATTCAGATCTTAGTTATTCCCTTAGAAGCAAAGCAATGTCATAAGTTTTTATTTCAATCAGACAAAATAAACAGATTTCTTTTATCCCCAGCAAAAAAAGAGAGAAAAAATATTTCTTTTCGGTCATCTCTTAAATAAGAAGGATGCAAATTAGCTCTGAGGATAAATGTCAAGGAAAACAGAAAAGATGAATTGAAAGATGGCATGGCCAGAAGTTCCTTAAAGTCACTCTAAGCAGGCAGCTTGATATAGAATGCATAGAAAGTCAGATTCTTGAGCAGTACATGTTGTCTCAAAAAATGCTGATCATCCAGGAAAAAAAGAAAAAAGAAATAGACCACCATTCTATATTAAAATAATACCAATCCCACAAAGCCGAATTACTGAATTTGCCATGTTCTTTGCCTTATCTTTTCATTTTAGGCTAAGTATATCTCTGCAGGCCTGCCTTCTGCAGATTGTCGGATACAGAAATCTGATTGCAGAGGTGGAAAAACTGCGTCGAGAGCCATATGATTCTGAAGAGGATCAACACGAAGAAATGCTTCTGAAGGTATGTGCTGGAGCTATGCTTACCAGCGAGCTTTATCTGTTTAAGAAGGCCATGGATGGCTAGTTGCATGCTCAGAGCCTTGATAAAAAAATTAGATATCGTTGAGTGAATTGGAGAGCTTCTAAACTGGGTGGGAAGGTATAATTTTTTGCTCATTTCATTAGCTTCCAAAGACCACAGGCAACAAACTGGTATTAAAATTAGTATAACCAAGATCTTCAATCTGATGTTATGAGAGATAGGGAAATAAAAATGGATAAAATGGGGAAAACCTGACTTTGGGGAGCATTAATATGGCCAATAAATATATATAATTCCTGTTCTGTTCCATTCACTATTGCTTCCTCTATCTATTTAAAAATCTCTCAGAGGACCACAACTTTTCATAGTAGAGAAACTCCACAGCTGATCAACCTTCACTGCCAGAAAGTTTGCTCTTAAAGGAAGCAATATATAAATCAATTTTATTTATTAGTATGGGCCAAATCTGCTTTCGCACAAAAACACCAATATTAAAGTCATTGCTCTAACGCCAGTAGCCTTACTGATCGAATTCTGAGTGCTGATCATTACCTGAAAAGCCCTATATAATAGAGCACCAGGATATATCCAGTACCAAAATCTAGAATGCCTGGCCAGTTCAAGCTTCTAGAGATGACCATCTGAATCCATTTCTTTGAGAGGGCAATAGTCAAGTGGCAGGCCTTTTCATTAGTAACCCCCACAGTTTGGAACATGCTGCCACACCACACAGGTACTGTCCCTTCCTGAATTTCCTAAGGTCATTAAGATAATTTTTGTCAGGTGCAAGAAATCAGGAGCCAGGATAGGGTTCAAAAGTACTGCAAGTTAGTTTCATGCTATCTAGACACAACAATCTGATACTAATGGTCAGGGCAAATTGACGTCAGATAAGAACCAACAGACTTCAAGGGGGACTAGACTTATGAATCTTACAGGGGCGTAGAGACTTCAAACTGATGGTGCATTTGACCCTGCCCTCAGGTTCAGCTTAGACAGCTCCTACATCTCCTTTATCCCACTGTGTCTTTGGCTTTGAACAATTCTAGAGAATTATTATTATGCTATTCTATTTTTGTTATATAGTTTTATCTATTTTATTCTTTGCTTTACATTACCCGGGGTCTTGGTTAATTGGGGCAGTTTTCAAACAAGCAGAAGAAGGCATGGAAGATGATGATGAGAGAGACTCCTGTCATCTCACAATTAGATGACTACAATTCCACTTGCACTGAATTGACTTGAAGATGACTCAGAGACTCCCTTTGACACAGATTGTGGCTGCCTGCCTGCCTTTAATTGGTTTAGCAGATTAACACCTATTTTTGCAGCCAGTTCATTTGTTGCCACAAGCTCCTGGACACAGTTCAAATGCTGGTAATTAATAGCTTCAACAAAGTTCCAACGTTAATGAAAACTTACCAAGTATTTTTTTCATATCAGTTCTCTGAAAACTGAAAACATTATAGCCATTTGCTTGCCTGGTATTCTAGCAACATTCTGATCTGAATTTTAAGCCCTAGCTGAGGCATGAATATCCATTTTTGGGGGCAACAGCGTCTCCAGTATGACAGCCCCTGATATGCTCTTACAAAATTAGCATAAGGGAGAAGAAAAAAATCCCTTTATAGCTAATGGTATTTACAGCCATTCTATGATTTTCAGCTTTGCCTAGAGGTTTGTGCCAAGCTAGAGAAAATAACTATCAAGGCCTGATCAGGATTCTTGCACCATTTCTGTATTAAAGCAAATCAGATTTCCCAGGGGCCATGTTTGAAATGTTTGCAGTGTCAAGAAGAAAACCTTGCTGATTTTTAGCTGCCACATCGCCCCAGGATCCTGCAACATCATGCATAACAATGAAGGCAAAGCCAATAAGGATGGATTTTTTTAAAAAAGTTATAATCATTGCACACAATGTGTTATAACAGATCTGTGATTTTCTTTTACTTCCAAAGCTATGGAAATGCTTGAAACCTGATTCTCCTTTGGAAGCTCGGATTTCCAAGCAGTGGTGTGAAATTGGTTTCCAAGGTGATGATCCTAAAACAGATTTTAGAGGAATGGGGCTCCTGGGGTTGTATAACTTGATGTAAGTATCTTTTTGTTTCTTTTCATATCATGAATTAAAAGGTACAAATTGTATTGGTCTTTCTTTCTTTCTTTCTTTCTTTCTTTCTTTCTTTCTTTCTTTCT